CAAACCGCTGGATCAGAGCTGAAGAAGAACCTTGTGTCCATCAATCAGAAAATGCACACATTCTCCATGACCATATGGGGAGAGTAAAACAACTTTTGAAAAAAATGACCTGTTGTGTTTCTGAGTTGCTCCCAGACGTTTTACAGAATGGCATCCCTGTTCACACCCGAAATTTGGAAATTCAGAGAAGGACCCAAGCTTAGAATTCTTCCATAAGTTCCTTCTTTGCTTTTTCTGGGGCACCTTTTAAATTAACCACTTGGATTTCATTCTGTGAAAAATCAGTGACCTCTTCCCCGACCCCCTTGTAAGTCACAGGGGCTCTCAGTCTCCTGCTTGTTTGTGGTCCAGGATGGGGGACTTCCCTTCCTCAAGCTCTCCCCTGGATCTGTAACCAATAAATGTTGTGACTCTGCTTCCATTGTGTGGGTGTATTGAAACTGCGCCTTTCATTAAAATGTCCCTATCCCTGGGTGGTTCATGTCCCTAAACTGGGAGTGTGGCTATGGAGGGAGCTACCTACCTGCCCACCCACGTGGGTGGTTGTGCCTCCTCATGCAGCGGGTCGTGATCTGCATCTTCTTAATTCAATGAACCAGCTCTGGCTTCTAAATACACACGGAGGAACTCAGGCAAGTCAATGCAGACACAGCCTGGTGTGGGATTAGGAGAGTTGGAGATGACCGTGGGTCTAAGTGACCATTGACCCGGAAGTACTCTTCCCTCATGCACCGCTGGCATCTCCTCAGCAAGAGGGAGCTAGTGGAAAAGTGAGCAGATAGGCCAACTTTTATAATTATTTGTGGATTTTTAGAAAGAGAAATTTTAAAAATACACAAAATGTAAAGTAGAAAAGTATGTTCTGTCTTCTACCCTACTCCCCTACCCACAGGTAGGACTATAACCAGTGTGTGTGTGTGTGTGTGTGTGCGCATGTGTGTGACTGCGTGTGTGTGCATGTGTGTATGTGTGCTTAGGAGAAATTCTATGTGTTGAAGCATATGTGTGTGTATATTCTTTCCCTCCCTCAAAGAAAAATAGCTATATTGTTCTACAGCCTGCCTATTTTCAGTTAATGTATTTTAAAAATCATTCCATAGCAATATCTATAGACTTTTGTTTTTCATGGTTTCATAGTATTTCATGGTATCTGTATATCATGATTTGTTTAATTTTTTTGTTCATGATGGACATTTCAGTTGTTGTGATTTTTTTGCAACTACCTGCAATTGTGTAACAATTCTCCTTGCATATGGGGCTTGATACACATTTATGGATATACACGTAGGCACATTCCTGTAAAAAAAATAGCTCTGTTACTGGTCTGTGCAGTTTTCAATTTGGTGCATATTACCAAAAAAGGTTATAACATTTCTATCCTTGCTGAATGTGTTAATAAATGCCCACCCCACCTTGGATGTGGTCAATTCTTTATCTTTATACTCTGAGTGGCAGACTTGGCATATTGATGCACATGACCTGGGCCCCCAGGCAGTGGAGAATGCTGTAGCAGATGGGAGTGGATGAGAGGGGAGAAGGAGTGGCAAAAGGCTGCCAAGCAGAGAGCTACCAGGTTGGTGATGGTGGGTGAGCTGAGAACCAACAGGACACCTGCCCTCATCGACAGAGAGAGGTTCCAGGCTGCCACCTGCTCCAGCTTGCAGACCTTCCCAACAGCGTCCCTCCTTACACTAGACTTTGGCAAATATCAACTTTTATTTGTAGAGGGAGTAGCACCTTCAAAAGTTTATGGGTGAAAAGAAAAGAACTCAACAAATCAAAGGAAAAAAAAAAAGCATACTTCACAAAAGGCAATGCCCAAGGAAACATAAGCAAGGCAGCTCATATAAATAGTTCTACTCATTCTCCAGGAAATGATAGACAACAGGAGGATTCTAGAAATGTAAAGAGAATGAGGCACAAGATAGGGTGATGGAAAGCAAGCAGGCTGACCTCAGAAAAGAGAAGGAGCAGAAGAGAAAGAGCCAACGTTGCCCAGAAGAAAGAATAGGGAAAGAACCACAAAACCCAATGATAAGTGTGCCTGAAAACACACAGACGTGGTGCCCTGTGGAAATTTCATGGAGTGAAGTTTAAGTGAACCAGTATAAAACATGTGGAGAGGCAGACATTGGTATAGAAGACAGAGAGGTGATGCCACAAACGTACGTCGGCTATTCCCTTGGGGGAGAAAAGAGAAGGCAAAGGAAACATAATTGAATCGAATTAAAAACTATCCAGGAACAAAAGGATCTTTCAGACTGTTACTGAAAGCCCACCTGGTGACCCAGGAAAGGAACTGATACAGATGATCCACACCTAGAACAGTATGAAATTACCAAACCATGTGGATGAAACAGAATCATATGAGCTGGTATCAGAAACGATGATCAAATCAGAAGGTCATACCAGAAGGATCGTGTTGCCTGTGACAGAAATAGGCTAGCCTCATAACAACACTGCATCCCAGAAGACAGGGAGGAGAATCTATATGTTCTGAGCAAATGGCAGAATAGTCTGGGAATATTCTGGTAACAATCTCATGCATGAAATATAGCACCCTGAGTCCTTTAAAAGCAGAAAATCTAGGGGCGCCTGGGTAGCTCAGTCGGTTAAGCATCCGACTTCAGCTCAGGTCACAATCTCGTGGTCCGTGAGTTCAAGCCCCGCGTCGGGCTCTGGGCTGATGGCTCAGAGCCTGGAGCCTGCTTCCGATTCTGTGTCTCCCTCTCTCTCTGCCCCTCCCCCGTTCATGCTCTGTCTCTGTCTGTCTCAAAAATAAATAAACGTTAAAAAAATTTTTTTTTTAAAAAGCAGAAAATCTACATCATGATGAAGTATCGCCAACAAACAGATAAGTTAAATAGTGAAAAAAGAGAAGCTATGGTTAGCAATGAATATATTTTAAAATATACAAAAAACCATAAGCAATGGTGGGGACTATTACAGGACAGAATGGTAAATATCATAGATTCCAAGAATACTATGCTGACAGTATCAGCACTGGGTAGAGGAGGGTGGTAAGGGGTGAGATGCAAACGTCTTCATCTTTTAAGGCATAAAATCCGTAGATAGTTTAAGTGTGTCATTAAAAATAAAATGGTAGGGGTGCCTGGCTGGCTCAGCTGGTTAAGCGTCTGACTCGATTTTGGCTCATGTCATGATCTCATGGTTCGTGAGCTCAAGTCCCACTATCAGCTCAGATCCTACTTGGGATTCTCTCTCTCCCTCTCTCTCTTCCCCTCCCCTGATCACTCTGTCACAAAAATAGAGAAACTTATAAAGGATATAAGATGGTAATGTGGAGGCTTAGAGTTCAAGCAAAGTGCAGAGGGTGTCCAAGTGAGGGGCAGCTTGGCATGAGTGTCAGGGCCTCAGCAGGGTGAGGAAGCCCTCCCCACTGAGGGTCAGCTCATTCAGGGGTGACAGAACACAAGAGTGTGAGAAGGGCATCCACATGGAAGGAATTTGTGTGTAGGATATCAAAGCCCTCATAGGGTGGGGCTGGAGGTAGGGTGGTGTAGGGCTGTGCATGGGTGTTGAGGCAAAGCCTGTCTCTTCCAGGTGAGATTGGTTACAAGTGGCATTATTGACCCATAAGTAAATATAGGAAAGCTTCCAGAAGTCAAGTTTCTCACAGTGCAAGAGGAGAGTCACAAATAGAGAAAACCAGAAAACTAGAATGAGCCCTGTGCTTCTGACTGGGAATTGGGAGCATTGCAGGGAACTGATAGTTTCAGGCTGTCCCTGAAAGCCCATAGATGTGAATACAACAGGGAGTATGTTTCCATCAGTTACCTGTATATGTAGGTGTATCTGCAGAGGACCTAGGAAAAGGGACATCCTAATAACTAGAGAGCACCCAGCTCCTGGGCCTTTGGCTTCTTGAAAATCATTCTCCACTAAAAGGAAGTAGAGTTCTTTGAGAAGTGGCTGATTCCAGGGCTGGGACACAGAACTGACAAGTTGAGTCTTGGACATCTTGTGTTGCAAAAGAGGAAGAGGTCAAGGGCCAGAGAGACACATCAAAAGGACAGGAAGCTGCTTGAAGGGGCTCCCACTGGCCAAATCTGGGACAATTTGAACATCAAAACACATAATGGTAGTAATGGAGTGTAAACCCTCGGAGCAAAATAAAAGCCATTTTAGCATATATTGGTATAAGCATATAAAGGACTAAATTGAAATTTGATGCAGAACTGGTGATTTACATTGTTTCAAAGAACTTCTATGCAATACTTACTGATTATAAGTAACAGGGCAACTTTGTAATGAAGAAGTCCTCTGGCCACAACCTTCAGCAAGTGACCAAATGGACCCCATTGGTAATGGAACAAATTGAAATCACGTGTGCCACCTGGCAAGATGCACGTCCTGAAGTCGAGGCAGGAAGCCGGTGCCAGAGCCCCTACCCCACAAGTGACAAAAATACAGCAGGGCTGCGACCCCAGAGTCTTCTGTTCACTTGTGGGTTCAGGTCTTCCCTCATGGTTGGCACATACTCAAGGCTTGGTTCTGCTTTCGATCGTGATGGGGTCTAGAATTTTGAAACCCCTTTTTGGCTGGAGCCCTAATGTCCATGGGACACAGAAGAAAGTCCATGATGGTTGCAGGTGGCTCACAAACTTGAGATGAAATATGTTTTCCAAGGAATCGGGGCCCCATGGGAAGGCATTTTCTACTATGTTAGAGGCCTCAGGAAAAAGAAGGGCCAGGGCTGTGTGGCCAAGGGGGCCACTTGGCTTCTCAGGCTGTCCTCATGCCCACCAGAGACAACAGTGGTGCTGGCAAGCCATAGCAGCCCTTTGGGGACCCTGAGTTTGTGGAAGGGGCCTCCATGTCACAGATCCCAAGACTCAGCTGCCTCCCTCTTGTTCCTGCCAGGACCCCTCTGGCCCCAGCTCTCTGTGTTATCTGAGACCCAATTCAACAAAGAGACACATGTAGACAAGTAAATACACCCCCACAGACTCTCTAGTCACCTGAATGCATAGCCGGACTTGCTGTTTTTCCCTGAGAGCTTCTGGGTAGAGCCCCAGAGCCTGAGTGAGAAGGTATCTCTTGAGGAGACAGACACCACCACCTGGACCACAGGATCAGGCTTGAGCCCACCTAGACCTTCCATCGCCCAGTCCATCTCAGTCCCACACCAGTGAGCTGTGCATCATCTGTACGGAGGTTCCCTCATGGTGACCGTGAAAATGAGGGTCTCCAGATGGTCTATGAGGGACACAGGGCCTCTCCTCCACTCTGTCACCAATGTGGTGGCTTCCACAAGTCTCTTATAGGCAAGGAGGTACTGTTTGTGGCACCAGAAATTAGTGTTCATCTTTCATTTCTCCTAAGATGGAAATGACATGCTCAGAGTCCCCCCACCATGGTGTCTATACCTTCTTTTGACCCCTCAGAAGCAGGGAGTCTAGAAAACACAGACTGATATCCTTCTCCTTACACACACAAGGGACAGGGTCCTAGTCAGTTCCCTGGGAGTCACCTCCCACTCTGATGATAAAGCAGGTATTACTGAACAATTCCATGAGTATCCAATGCTCCCTGCCATTGATCATTGTCTCTATAAGTGACATGAAACTTTCATTGACAGCCACTGTGTCTGAGGCAGGCACAGTCACATCTCCTCTGAGCATCTCCTGAGTCTAGACAAACTGGGCTCTAGGCAGTATAGGGGACATTAATCACTTCACTTTACACGTGAGGAAACTCAAGCCAGACTGAAGACACTTGCCCAGTGCCACAGAGCCAATGACACCTGTGCCAAAACTGGAAACAAAGCCTTTGATCACAAGCCTGGCGTAGTTTCTACCCTCAACCCCCAGGATGTACAAGGTTACTTCTGTTTTGGTGTGCCCACTCTATGTTGGTTCCTATTCCAAATGAGACCACCATACAAAGATCCAGCATAACAAATAGGGCACAGACACCATGCTAGTCTAAGCTTTTCATCTTAGCACTCTCTGATCTATTAAAATGTAGGAAAGGACCCCCCAAAATCTCCTCCACCATTATTCTAGACACTTGGAAAGACTTCTTAACTAATGAGTCCTTGGTATTTTCCCTGATTAGGGCTTCAACATATGAATTTGGGGGAAACATGGGCTTATAGTTCTAATAAAATGGTTCGAAATAAAATATGGATGCAAAAAAAGAATAGACAGAGCCCAGGAAGAATGTAAGTGGAGGAGAACCCCCCAAATCTTTATTGAGAGGAAACATGTATTCTCTTGAAAATTAAAAAAGAAAATTGCTTATTTGTTATTTTTTGATGAGTGAGTAAGAAGATGTTGAACATGAAGAACCCAGTATTCTGGGCTTGCAGTTGCTCACCTGAGGGAGGGGGTGGGGTAGGAAGGAGGGATGGTGGAAAGGCCAAAGGCCAGGCCAAACCCAGGAATGGATGATTGTTGGTCTGAACTGCCTGGAACATGGACAGTATCACAGCTGTTACGGGGAGATCTGAGCCTCTTAGACTGTCCCATCTAGATGGAAAAGTCCAAATGGTCCCTGGAGCCCCTGCACCTAAGGACCAGTGGGGTCAAGGTACAAACGGAGGGGCAGAAATGTATTGTTTCTTGTGACCACTGGGTAAGTCCTGTGTTTGGAGGCTACTGACATAGATACAGGGATAGGTGGATATTTGCATTGTTTCAAAGCCCCTCCCACAAAACACTTATACTTCACAGAGGAAAAAAGAGTACCTTCAATGAGCTTTGTCAAATTTATAATGATATATCTGTATACCTGTATTAACATCTTGTTTGAGATGAAAGTAACCCAGGTATTCCAGGCTTAACAAAGGTGATTAGACTGTGCACTTAGCATGAGAAGATTATAATATTTGAGGTATACATATACCATGATACATTTTTTTAAATACAGAAAATAATTGCAGACGTAGATCCCTATACTTTCCTTTAACTCTCTTGACCATCAGTGAAATTTTGCATCTACATAGAGGGAACCCTTGTCAGGACCTCTTTGAGGGGATAAAAAGGCTTATCCGGGCCTCTCCCTTCTACTCTCCCACCACTCTGTTGCTGGAAACAATCTAAATCTACAATTGGACTTAGAGTCACTTCACAACCTCTAGAATGGATGGCTCATACTCTTACATATAAAACATTGAAACAGTGTCCCCTCCAAAAAAAATCTCCAAAGAGTGCAGGAAAGATTTTAATAGGAAATGTATTTTATAGGATGCAAATGTATTTAATAGGAAATAGATTTTAATAGGAAATTTATGGCGCAAACAGATAGGATGTGGGTCAGGTGATGGTCCAACCCTGCCTTCAACCTTTTGTGATCAGACAATTCTTTCCCAGGAGGCACTGATGCAGCAGAAGGTGGAATCGGTGGACCTCTGTACAGCTGGCCCATCAGGGATCTTTGTCCATGTGGACACATTCTGGAACTTTTTGGTTTAGTTGAGGTTTTCTACTTACTGGTTGGTATGGAACTTGAAAACCCATCATTGGCCAGAGTCTTGAACGATGTAATAGTCATTTATCCTTGGCAGAGCCACTCCAGGGTTGCAAGGAGAGGAGGTACCAGGAGGATCCACACAGGAAGATTCTCTGCTGCTCCATTGATGGCCAGGGTCCCTGACCTGTGCAGAGCAGTCAGGGAGCCAGAGTTTAATACTAAGATCAGGATGAGGGGAGTCCTCACCTAACAGGGACCCTCATCTCCCTTGGAACTGCAGTCACTGCCCATTCCCTGATCAGAGGTCAGAGGATGCGGGAGAGTTGGTGACACAGGGGCTGTGGTTTTCCTGCTCAGGCTGACTTATTCTCCTGCTGGAGCCCCCCTGACTCCCCAAAGCACAGTAACAGCAGGTCTCCAAGCAGGGGCACCTTTTGTTGCTGCATCCCCCCACATCCTCTCCACGTCACCAGTAGGCCACCCAGGATCAAGGATTTCCCCTTGCCTGACTCTTTTGGTTCTACGTCTGTCCCACCTTATGTAAATTCTGCCCATCTTCCTTCCTTCCTTCCTTCCTTCCTTCCTTCCTTCCTTCCTTCCTTCCTTCCTTCCTCTCTTTCTCTCTTTCTTTCTTTCTTTCATTTATTTTTATATTTGAGAGAGAGAGAGAGAGAGAGCCTGAGCAGGGGAGGAGCAGAGAGAGATGGAGACAAAATCTGAAGTGCAGATCCCAAATTCTGTCCATCTTTCAAGCTAGGATATAATATTACCTAATACAATAGAGGAAAATTTCCACTCTCCTTTCAATCTGGATGCTTACCTTTCAGCTTCTCCTGGGAGGAGTCTCTTCCAGCTGTGACCCCCACCTGGTAGCACATAGAAGGTGCACTATCTCATGCACCCTGGACAGTGGGCACGCGGTCTATTGGACAGTTGGGCTCTTGCTCACATATGTCCCCCTGGCAGTCCCCATCAGTATCCAAGAGCCTCATGTCCTCACCCTCTGCCTCATCCCCTCCCCCACAAGCAGTGCCAGGACCCCCCTGGAGGCCATTCTGTTCTTTCTTTTTACCTGCCTCGAGCAGGATTTGTCATGTCCATTTCACAAAGGACTTTTCTTGAGGGAGAGGACATGCTGCCTTGCATTTTCCAAAATTATCTTTGAACCCACTGTGCTCTTTTCCCATGTTCCACTCTCTGTGAGGCTGCTGCCCTTCTGCCCTCCCACAGGCTTCCTTTTCTGCCCTTCAGTCCCCTAAAAGTTCTGCATCCTCCCTTCCCACTCAACAGAACTAGTCTCCAAATAGTCATGAGTAGGACAGAAGCTGGTTGTGATGCATAAGCCAAGTGCCTGGCCTCATTTGCACACGAGTGAACACACTATCCAGCGGGCCAGGCTCCAAGGAACAGGGACCTTCAGAAGGGAAGAAAGACAGACTGGAGCTCGAGGGGAGGTGGTGGAGGGCATTTCTGGCAGGAAATGCACCATCACCATGGCCTGGGATGGGGTGAAGCAGGGCAGGGTGTGTGCCCTTTGATGAAGGAGTTAATTGTTCTTTGGATGCCTGTTGAGGGGATTGGGCTTTAGGTTGATGGCCCAACCTCTCTACCGTGTTGGGAATGTGAGAAAGCAGGAATGCCAGCTTCCCACTCTTTCCCAGCATTTCCCAAGCACTTGGGAGGAGAGAGCTGGATCCATGGAACAGGTACCTGCCCTTGACAGTGGGCAGAATGACTCCCCCTCAAAGATGTCTTAATCCCCAGACCTCTGAATGTGTTAG